TGCAACTTGACAAAAACTTTGCAAATATCAAGCTGAATTAGTTATTGTGGAGAGGTTTGCAGTGTCGGACAGGTCAGGAGGTCTCTCAGGACGATAACTTGGCAGTGTGCCACAGCAACGCCTAATAGAAATAGTAGTAAAAGTAGTGCTAGAGCAATAGCAATAATAGTTCGATCAACAGAAATTAAACTTCAGTTTTATCTACAACACTTTCAAGGACTATTTTCTATAAATTAGGAATAAGTTTAGGATTTTTTAATATGAGGCAAAGCGGCTGAAGGGAGTGGAAAGCGAGAATGAGAGAGAGTGAATGAGCCAGAGAATATGATAATTAAAGTGTCATAGAGGTTGAATGAAGAATGCAAATGGTCCAGCCAAGAAGGATGCTCGTAGTGTTGGGGTGAGAGAGTTCGTCCTCTCCACCCTTTCACCCTCCACAGCCCCAACTCTCTCTCAGTCACCTCCCCACCAAGTCCAACCTTCCCATGCCACCACAAAGTCTGCACTGAACCAAACCTTAAAATCTGCACCATCGCATCCCATCCCTTGAAACACATTACGACTTTACGAAAAACCTAGAACACACATCTGTATATGTATGTATGCATGTATATATATATATATATATATATATATATATATGTGTGTGTGTGTGTGTGTGTGTGTGTGTGTGTGTGTGTGTGTGTGGTAGTATTTAATCACTAACACTGTGGCTAGCCGGAGGATCGAACCCGTGTTGTTTTAGCCTACCTCATGGCGAGCGAAAATTCACGACACTCTAAACCACTGGACCATACAATCCTACCTAGGATTGCATGGTCCAGTAGTATAAAGCGTCGTGAATTGTCGCTAACCATGAGGCGGGCTAAAACAACACCGGTTCGATCCTTCGGCTAGCCACAGGAGTCTTTCACGCCTCTGTATACAGTACGTCATACAAATACTGGAGTACTACAGGATGTGCAGAGGTATGCAATGACACTAATCCCGGAGCTAAGGGGTATGTCCTGATGGCATTAGAGAAAAGGACTAGGTGGTTATACGATAACAACGTACAGAATATTGAGAGACAAGGCAGAGTGTTCGAGAGACTGAGAATATGTACAAGAGGGCACAACTAGAAGATAAAAACACGAATGAGTCACAGGGATGATAGGAATTGTTTCTTCAGTCTCGGGATAGTCAAGTAGAATAGGTTAAGACACTCGAAGCCAGGAAAGAGTGAGCACAGTAGCAGCTAGCGAAAAGGCGGGGCCAGGAGCTGAAACTACACTTCTGCAACCACATATAGGTGAGTACACATGCAGAAAGCGCACACATACACACATACACATACACACACACAATTCACTATTCAGTAATTTCTCCTCTCCCAGACCCCTCAAATGCTGAATCTCCCCTCAGGCTTCGGAAGAGGGGAAGTCAGTCGGGGACACGCCCATGCTAGCAGACGTCACCTAAAGACCTCCATGTCCAAATACCATCTCTTCTCCTATATCATCAACAACAAACAGAACCTAAAGAATGCCATGTTTAAATACCAAATCTCCTTTATCAGTTCTTTCTATTTACTAGTTCTTCTAAATATTGCAATAATTTGGTAGCTAGTTGCTTTAGTGTTCCTAAGTTATTCTATCCTAACCCTTTCAAGCCTTTCTGTTGCAACCCTAATTGCTGTTGTCAAGCCCTTCTGTTTTTGCCTTAGTGTTGCGAAGCCTTTCTATTGCGGTCCTTAGTCATAGTGCTGCCAAACCTATATTTTCAGCTCTTAGTCTTACTGATACCAAATCTTTCCTCTCCAGTCCATAGTATTAGTGACGCAAAGCCTTTCCGTTTCAACCCTTAGTGTTGATGTTGCCTAACCTTTCAATTCCAGTTCTTAAATTCTTAGTTTTTCCAAATTTTGTGTCTCAGCCCTTAACCTTAGAAGCCGCGTGTCAGTAGTGAAAAAAGGGAAGTGTTTCACCACGAGCACAAACTTTGACTGAGTCAAGAAAACAATACTTAAGCATTGAAATAGTGTTTATGATGCTCTCAAAAGTGTGTTATCATAAGACAAAGACCTGTGTTAGCTCATTTTCCTTGGTCAAATAATTAACAACTAATAGAATCCTAATGCTACCAAGCCTTTCTGCCCCAGCCACTGAAGCCATGGTTATGTCAAGCCTTGCTGCTCCAACCCGTAAAGTCTTAGTGCTTCCATGCCTTTCTCTTTCAACTGTACCAAAACACACACACACACACTAACACACACACACACACACACACACACACACACACACACACACACACACACACACACACACACACACACACACACACACACACACACACACACATTTGAGAAGAGCAAACTTTGCAGGAATGAGGGAATTCCCGGATGCAGTACAATAGTAAAGGGAACTAGAAGGAAAGTCAGTGAATGAGATGATGGAGCACCTAACCGGCGAGTGCCGGGTGGTAGACGAGAGCTTCAAACCCTGAAGAAGTGGATATAATA